CCCCAAAACCCCAAAACCCCAAAACCCCAAAACCCCATAAAAAAAATGAAGGTTGAGTGTTATAAATAATATTTTCAAACACAATATTTTAGCAAGATCACAGAAATGGTTAAAACACCAGGTAAGCTACCTTTTCCGATTGGATTATCTTAACTTGATTGCTTTGGCTCATTATTGGCCCTTATGGAGGGCTCTAACAAAAAGACCAGAATTCCTATTAAATTCTGAAAACAGCGTTTTCTGATACCTGGCTATTTTCATTTAAACCTTCCAAAAATAAGTTCCTTGGGGTTCTAGAGTCAGTTTGAGGTTAATAAGCTGGAATTAGGATTAAACTACCTTATTTTGCTTCAATGTCACCGGGAATTTTAGCTCATTATCATCCCAATAAAAGAGGCTTTTATAACTATTAACACGGTTTGTGGATTTTCTCCAATCAAATTCATGTGGCGCAACAATACTAATTTATTTTATAGAAACCTCAAATATTTGCAAGAATTATGAAAGGATTAACAAGACAAGGAAGGCTCTCTATGATGCCATCCTTCTAGATTCCTGTCTCCTCAAGGATCAGGAGATCACCCAAGAAACTGCTGACTTTGCTGAAAAAGATGCCTTCTCCGATCGTTTTAATTCGTTGATTCTTAACCAAAATCTCACGATCAATGTTGGAACAAGGACAGGAAAACCAGCCACTAAAGAAGACTTAGAGAGCATTGACTCTGATCAAAGGTTCAAGACCAGAGTAAATGCATTCAGTTTCCTGTCTAAGTATTGGTTGCCAGTCTTAAGGTCTGAGAAGCTGCCAGAAATTGCTAAAAGATCAATTTCTCCACTAAGAATCATCTTTGATTTCCAAGAAGAGGAAATATTCGATATTCCACCAGAAAGAAAAGCTGGAAATATTATGACTGGAACTTGTTCAGTATCTCAAAGCTCTCACAAAAGAATCAGAGTAAAGAGAAGAACTAAGAGAGCCTGCCGTAAGATCAGTGATAAGAATAACAAGACTAAGATCATTAAGGGATTATCATCAATTCTCAGTGAATTAGAGTCCCAAGATGAGACAAAAATCTCAGATTATTGCGATATGACATCTCTAAGTGCTACAAAGTCATATAAAGCTAGTTCCAAGGGGAGAAAGTCAAGAGTTAGGACTAAGGGTTCTAATAGCACAAAGTCTATCTCCAGCAATATCGCTTACCACAAGCGCATTGCTAGAAAGAATAAAACTAAAAAGAGCAGACCTCTCAGTATCAGCTATGGCCAAATATGCTTAAGCACTATCGTCAAGAACTTAGATGAAATTTCATCTGAATTATAAACACATAGATCACCATCTATGAGTACATTATGATAATGACCAAGCACTCTTAGTTGGAGAAGGCTGAGCCTTCTTCTCCAGCCGGATGCAGAGGCGTTTCATAACTCACAATGCTAATAATATGCATTTTTATAACTCCTAATTTCTTTAATAACATTAAAACTTAATTTTGGTCGGGTATTCAAATGCTTTCTAAGGAAAATCTGAACCAGGCACATACTAGAGCCAAGGCTACTGAGAGTATAGTCCATCATGAGATTTGAGCACCAAGGAGGATCCATAGATTGTTCTTGGTGCTCTCTGTAAGATCCATGAGTTTTCTAATAGCCGAGATTAGTCACTAAGGTGCCAATTTCTGAGATCTCTAAAGATCTCTTCCTGATACTTCGTTTATAAAGTCTCTCAGGTCAATTATTCAATACGTGTTCAGTTCATTGGGGTTTTGGGGTTTTGGGGTTTTGGGGTTTTGGGGTTTTGGGG